TCTGCTTCTGTGAGTTTGACTTTTTTAGATTCTACATGTAAGATCAAGTAAAACTTGTCTTTCAATGTCTCATTGCCTTAGGTTAATGTCCTCCAGGCTTATCCATGTTTTCATGAGTAGCAGAATTGCCTTCTTTTCAAAGACTGAATAATATTCCTGAGTGTATATACAGGAGTATTATTCAGTGTGTGTGTGTGTGTGTGTGTGTGTGTGTGTGTGTGTGTGTAAAATTATATATATGTTCATTTGTGATATTTTCTATGTCTTTTCACTGGTTGATGGACACCTCGATTGTTTTCATACCTTGTCTGTTGTGAATAATGCTGCAATAAGCACAAGAAGGCAGATGTCTATTCAGTTACTGATTTAACTTTCTCTAGATATACTCAGAGTAGGGTTGCTGGATCATATAGTAGTTTGCATTAATTTTTTGAAGCGTTTCCTGTTCTCTTTTCCCCACATCCTCACTAACACTTGTTATTTTTGTCTTTTTAATAAAAACCTCTCTAACAGGCATGAAGTGTTATCACATTGTGGTTTTGATTTGTATTTCCCTGGGGATTAATAATGGTAGCATTTTTTTTAATATATACCTGTGGGCTATGTGTATGTTTTCTTTTGAGAAATGTCTCTTCAGTTCCTTTGACCAAAATCAGGTTATTTGTTTACTTGCTATTTCACTGTTTAAATGCCTTCTACATTTTAATATAATTCCAAATTAATACAACTCCAATAATGGGTAAATTTTAATATTTACCAATATTTTCTTCCATACCATAAGTCGTCTCTTCACTATGCAGGTTCTTTCTTTTCCTGTGTAGAAGCTTTTTAGTTTGCTCTAGTCCCACATGGTTTTTTTTGTTGTTGTTGTTGGTTTTTTTGGCTTTTATTGCCTGAGCTTTTGGGTTTCAAAAACATCACTGTCCAGACCAATGTCAAGAAGCTTTCACGTGTGTTTTATTCCAGGAGTTTTAAAGTTTCAGCTACTTAATCCATTTTGAGTTGATTTTGTGTATGGTGTTACATAAGGGTCCAATTTCATTTTTTCTTCTTGAGGATATCCAGTTTCCCGAGCATTGTTGAAGAAATTATCTTTTCCCCATTGTTTATTCTTGGCATCTTTGTCAAAGATGAATTGAATCTAAATGTCTGGGTTTATTTCTGGGTTCTCTATTCTCCTTCCTTGGTATTTTATGATAGAATCATGCTATTTTGGTTATTGTAGATTTGTAGTGTATTTTTAAATCAGGTAGAGTGAGGCCTCCAGCTTTGTTCATCTTACTCAATAGCTTTAGTTATCCAAGGTCTTTTGTGGTTCAATATAAATTTTAGGATATTTTTTTTTCTATTTTTGCAAAGAAGTCTTTTCACATCCATCCTCTCAACGGTTCCCTATCTGCAAATGTGAATTTGAGCATCGTATGAAGTTACTATGACTGAGGGGACTGAGCCTGAACGTCGGGTCTTTGCTGACCCTGTAGCCTTGGACCAGGACACTCCACAGAATGGTTCCAGGAGATACGATAGGCATTCCCTTCTTCCCATCACTGTTTTGCTCTGACCTCCTCTTGTCAAGACAGCCTGTGAGCTATCTGCTAATTTATTGGCATGAACTAGGTCTTGGTCTGTCACCTCTGATGTTCCCTGGTTTTGGGGTGACTACTTCTAGGTACTACCCCCTTTCCTGTGACACAAAACCCTTTTCAACTCAACAGACACCAAAACTGGACCCTAGGAAAATCCAGTGGCCTGGGAATCTGAGCGGCCCCTCTTTCTTGGCAATGCAACCCTGATCCCTCTAGAGGACACTATTGACCCAGACTCTGAAATCTTAAATGGTATCCAGTTCTTCCGTGCCCTTGAGAACATTCTGATGACAAGTGAGAACCTGTATGCCAACCTACAGCCATCCTGAGGTCCGCTGTATTTTGTTGTCTGCGTCAATGTTAATGTTTCTTCCTAAAATAAAGTAAGTGGGATAAAGTGCGAACTAAACAAGAAATATTGGAAGTGAAGGATCATTTCTTCCTGCACTTCCCAACTAGTAGATCTAATCCTCCTGAGCGTGCTCAGAGAGCTTCATTGCATCACCCTGAGTAAATCCAAGATTTGGTACAAAAGAGACATGCATTCTTCATAGGCTCCACCTTTGGAGAGTTCTGACTAAGGTCCCAGGAGTACCATCTCCTGACCTGATAGCTGGGTGGACTTCAACGTGTTTTGTTCCCCACTTGGAAAGTGGAGATAATAAGAGCACATATTCCATGGGGTGGCTTTTAGGATTACATGAGGAATAGACTATTTACTACTATGTTTGGCACAAAATAACTTCTATGGTTTAAATATGAGGTATCTCCCAAAAGCTCATGGGTGAGAATGCAAAAATGTTCAGAGGTGAAATGATTAGATGACGAGAGGTGTAACCTCAGTGGATTAATCCACTGATATGGATTAACTGGGTGGTAACGTAGGCAGATAAGGTATGGCTGGAGGAAGTCGGTCACTGGGGGCATAACTCTGCTTTCTGGCTGCCATGAGCTGAGCATCTTTCTCCCACCATGCCCTTCCACCACGATGTTCTGCCTCACCTCCAGCCCTGAGCAATGGAGTCAGCCAACCACGGACTGGACCTAGATACCATGAGCCAAAATCAACTTTTCTTCCTTTAAGTTGTTCTTGTCAGGTATGTTGGTCACAGATATGTAAAGCTGGCCAAATCAATAACCTTCAGTAATGGGGACTACAGAGGGAGAGGATTCTGAGCATTAATGAACACAATGGCAGAGACGACAATTCAGGACACAAAAGAGGGGTGTCCACTAGAGCCCCATAGGCATCATAGGATTATAAGCCCCTCTGGCCCCTGCAGAAGTAAGACGGCTAACAAGCCTCAGAGTTCTATTCTTCACTACAGCTGCCATTGGTAACTGACAGTCCCAACACTCTAATCACATATTTGAGGTTTCTGGTGACTTTCATCCTGGTACAATTTTGGGACCCATATAATTCCCTGAGTCTTTGAAATCCATGCCAGGGACCAGAGATATTTTTATCATACGTAAACCAATATATACCAATATCTAAATGACTATAAACAGGATAATTCTTTATTTTCTTATAGAATGAGAGTTTGAAGAACTAGGCCTTGAGTCCACCTGGTTTGGACAGGATGTACCTTAATTTATTTGTCTGCCTGGATTTTGATATCTTCCTCTGTAAATTAAAGTTAACTCTAAAAGTCTGATTCATCAAAGAAAAGAATGTACATGTAGAAAATTAGCAGATGGACATAAATTAGCATAGTTAATAGCAGTTGTCTCTGGAGGAATTTTTCATTTTTAAAAATTCCGGAAAAAGCCCAAAATTTCCAAAACTTTTAAACCCTTAAAAGGCCTTTGAAGCCGGAAAAAAAAAAACCCTACAACTTTAAAAAATTGAAGCATACAATTTACATATTTAAATGTACAGATTTTAAATTTCGAGTTGGAGAAGTTTTGACAAATGAATAAAAACCTATGTAACCGAACACCCAAAGCAAGATGTAGAACATGTCCATTACTCTGGAAGTCCCCTCTGTATATTTCCAGCCTATCCCATCCTATCCTAGACCAACTCTTAACTCAGATTTTTAGCATATGCATTCATTTGGTCTATTCTTGAATTTCACATAAGTGGGATCACCTAGTATGTACTTAATATGCTTCATTGTTTTTCTCTTAGCATATGTATTAAAGTATATCCATGGTGTATAAGTTGATTCCTTTATATTGTTGCATAGTACTCTATTATATGATGGTCATTTGGGTGGTTTCCAAATATGGGACTATTATGAAGTAAACATTTGTGTACAAATATTTTTTGGGAGGCCTTCAT